TAATCATATTTCTAAGTAAACAAACAAATTTCAAATTCAGGCTAATTCTTGTTAATCATATTTCTAAGTAAACAAACAAATTTCAAATTTAGGCTAATTCTTGATAATCATATTTCTAAGTAAACAAACAAATTTCAAATTTAGGCTAATTCTTGTTAATCATATTTCTAAGTAAACAAACAAATTTCTTTTTTTTATTTTTATTTTTTTCCAAAATAAAAATATTTATTCCATTAATTTATATTTAATTTATCAAAATATTGTAAATAAAATAAGGACAAAAAAAAAGTAACCCAATTTACTCGAACAATAAGAATTCATGTTGATGAAGTGGAAGATGATGAAGATACTACTGTATGAGAAGAATTGCTTTCTATAATATCAACTATGTGATACGATTCGATTCATTTTTATATGTCAACGTGAAATTTAAAATTTCAATGTATCTTAAAAATTCTTTTTCTTTTTTTTTCTCTTCAAATTCTTCACCCATCTCCATCACCATATTTCTTTATTTATGCTTTATTTAATCAAAAGAAAAAAAAAAAAAAAAATTACAGGTTCTCATAAAACTGACCTTCATCTTTCGCATCAAATCATCAAATAATCTTTGGTCCATCCATTCAAATCATTCAATCATTTCGTCTCTTTTATAAAATGCAAAAAAAAAAGACGGAAGAAGCATTGTTTACAAAATATTGTTTACATAATTATGAAAAATGCTTCAGGCAGTTCAAAAAGAAAAAACAAAGTAAAAAAGCAATAAAATACAATAAATTATAAAAAGAAAACAAAAAAAAGAAAAAAACAAATAGAAATAAAAATAAAATTAGTAAAAAGGAAAAAAGAAAAAAAAACGATGAAATAAGATAAATTATAAAGAGAGAGAAGAAAAAACAATTACTAAAATTAATGTGATGAAAAAAGTTATCTTGTTTGTCTGATAAAAAAAAACACGATTACTAAAATTAGTGAGATGAAAAAAAAGTTATTGTCACCTTCTTTGTCTGATGCAAAAAAAAGTTATTGTCATCGTCCTCTGCCGAATAATTTTTGTGTATAAAAAAGAAAAAAATAAATTTTTTTAAAAAAAAAATGTAAAAAATAGTTTGGCAAAAAAAAACCCATTCATTTCTAATTCAAAATTTAATGAATTCATTTTGTGAATTCATTTTATTGTTAACATAATTCTAAATACGCAATGAAAATTTGCTAATTTAACATATTTGTTTAAATGGAAGAAAAAAAAATTTTAATAAAAATGGAATGATACTTTTTTTAATTTATAATTAAATTTTTATGTAAAATAAAATGAGAGATGGAAGAGTTTTGTAGAGTATATTTTAGAGTTTATTTTATAGTTTATATAATTTTAGAAATAAGAAAAAGATGGGATAAATTTAAACTACTGTTGAAATGCTATTATCATTTTTGTGATCTTTCAGTTTTTGAGTATTTATCGATGACATTTGCAAGGATTGCATTTGTGGACAATTATTTATTTGATTATTTTGTTTCATTTAATAATTATTTTTTGCATA